GTGTATAGATCATGGATGGATGGATGGATGGATAGTTTTGTTTGCTTGTTTGTTTGTTTGTTTACAGTATAATTAAATGGAATAGATGAGTGAACCAGAGATGGGACAAGATATCCAAGGAGTCAAAGGGGGCAAAGATACAGACTTGACCATTGTTTCGACAGCGGTTTACCCTCCCAGGTCCACTGAGGTCTACTCCAAGATGCAATCAACCATTCATCACTCAGAACACAGAACTGGACGCAAGAGAACTTGCTGGGAATTTAAACTATAAATCAAGCGTCTATGATCCCCCCCTCCAGCCCTCAGTGACGTAAACCAGTCTTACATGCTTTAACTGAAAAACATGAAGAATTTGAATTCAAGTTCAAGCATGTCCTAAACACCACAGAATCAAACTGCACAACATTCTGCCTGGTTTTCTGTCAAATTACCCTGCTGTTAACATTAGGAACCGTACAGATGCACTATAATAGGTTCTTTATCACCATTTTACAGCAGCGACAAGTCCAGCATGTGCTCGGTGATTAATGTGTATACTTGCAGGGGCGTCTGGAGAGGCCAGACACCATATATATGTCAAAAATGGTCTGTCCCTAGATATGTGCAAACATGATATAATGCATCTCAGAGAGCTGTAAAACATACTGTGACCGAAGGACACATGGTGTAGACACAAGCAACGGGGGAAAAAAGAAGTAAAAGCGAGTTTTACTCCAAAACTGCTTCACAACAATAATCCAGATCAACCAGAAGCACAGCAAGCAGGAAAGAGCTCATCAAAAATCCAAAAGAGATCATAAACGTAGACGCAAACAATAAAGAAACACTAAAGAGTTACAAACCAGACACGCAGCAATCACTGGGAAGATCTCACAGGGAGAAGGGCTGGGAGGCTGGCAAGATGACACAAGATGAACTGCCAAAGAACATGAAGGAAATGTATACAGGAGGAGCACATTGGGGCGGGCAGGTGATCACACAGGTGGAAGTCAGATAAGGACCAGAGAGTGTAAAGACACCTATAATGAGTGAGTAGAAAACACAGCAGGAAATGCCAAAATAAGAGATGTCTGTGTAGATTTACAACCCAGGACTCGTGACTCAAGATGAGATTTGCTGTGAAACCAGGTGGTCCAACAGCAATGACAGCAATCATGGAGCTGCCAGTTTACACCTTAAGTCCTGGTCGTTAACGGGCCTTTAGCCATGTGAGCTGGAGTGACTATAGAACTCTGAAACCCCCCATCAGTCACTTAGATCAAGAAAAGCCTCTTGGATGAAACGTCTTCAAGAAACTTGACCAAAATAAGAACGGAAATAAATAAAAATCAAAAATATCTTAAGAAATGCTGACTGTGCCAATGCAGCTACTGCTGGTTGGTATGTCCTGCTATACTTATACACAAGGTATAAGTTATAGAAGTGCTTCATATTTTGAAATGACAGAGTCCCTGATAAGCCTCTTGTAGCATTTCAGAGCTTTTATGTTGATTGTGTTGTGTACCTCAATGCACCCTGTTAACTTTTACTTTGAAAAACCTACATGCATGAACTTCCTTCCCTTAGCCTTGTCAGAGTCTTGTTTCAACATAGATCCTTAAACCACTGTTATGTGGGAGAGACTGTTATTTAGAAGTTTAACCCAACAGATATGGAGCCACTAAACACTCTATGGCTTATGGATGTCGGTCTGGGACATGTTAGAACATGTTAGAACATGTATATTGGTAATATCAACAACAGCAGCTGTGTTGATTTGCCTTGAAGCTGCTGTTAGATATGTCCTGCTGATAGAGCCACTATAACATTATAGATTGTTAATGGAGGAAGCCATGTTTGGAGTCCAGTCACCTGTGAGTCACTGGTTGCTATGGCAATTCCCGCCTTTTTCTGTAAAAGTGGGTGGACAGAGAGAGGACAGTGGTTGAATGTTGTTTCAAAGAGAGGAGCAGACAGGACTAGCCCCTTGAACAAATTCTAAGTCGTATTGAAAAAAATATTTTACCATGTGATGCACAATCTTGTTTTGAATCCACTGAGGTATTTCCATGTACGTACTGTGTATTGTTCAGATTTGGTAGCTGGTTAGAGAGACCCTCTGTTTCTGATGTACAGCCAACACTTAAGACCACAGATATAATGAATAGATCAAACAGCAATGACTCACAATGGGTAAACAAGGACACAAATACCTTCATTTTTATATATAAATTGTTCATGGAGAGAAAAAATTGTGAAGGACCTGGTTAACTGCAGCTACTCCATAACTTTTATCTGGTCAAGAGATAGAGTATAACTGAAGGAAAAATCTGAATTATACAAACATTCATAAAACTTAAACTGCAATTGCGTAAAACAAAAAAACAAAAAAAACATAAAAGATACAAAAACACAGACTTAGATGAATAACATTTAAAGCCTGGACTATATATATATGTGAATATGGCAGAGCTACAGGGTTCCAGCGATGGCAGGTTTTGGCAGTTGTCTGGTCGACTTCCCATTTATATCAATGGGATGTTTTGCGTAGTTTTTACAAATTTCGTAAAAATCATACAACGAATTGCTCATAAAAAACTTAGCACACCATTCCCAATCAAGCAGCAAGTTTTGATATATAACTAATATGGGTTTTTTCTCAAAGCTGCAGGATGTGTTCGGTTGGAAGAATCCATAAGAATAAGCCCAAGGAAGAGAAATCCATTGGCACACTTCGTAAGAACTGATGCCACTTAGGTCTAGTTAAAACAGAAAAAAACGCATTTTTTGAATATGCAATGCTTGCAAACATTTCACATACAGCCCAGAAGCTCCACATAATTAATGACCTTTGAGCAAATGTCATGAAGTTAACATACATCTCAAGTATGACATTAAACTGCCGAAGCTAACTGCACGCTGACGATGAACAGAGAAGGTTAATTAATGTCTCATTCTGAAAAGTTTTCCACTTTTTGGCTCTTTGCGGTATTTTGATTAGCTTGAATAATACGTTTTTCTAATGAGCTGAAAAATGCCAGAAACCTCCCTCTCTGCTGCGGAGAGCCAAGAATGTGTGAGCTGCCCTCTGGAAGAAGTTTGAAGTCTCGCTGCAGAGATAGATGCATGAGAGCACTTCTGAATGTGGACAGCAGAAGATCACAGTGATGGATGGCAGTGGCAGGACTTGTGTCTCTCTCGGCGGGAGACGGTAGCCTCCTCTGGAGCTGTCTGCTCTGCTGGTGGCCTGACCTGCCTTATCTAGCAGGCAGGTAACTCTCAGAGGCCTGCAGGCTGGAGGCAGACTGCTGAGAAACACCAGGAGAGAGAGAGTCAGGAGGGTTTTGGCTCGCATGAATAGACCTCTGAAGACAGAGATGTTCTTTGGCTCTGAATTAAGCCCAACAGCACTCTGACACTGTGATCAGAATCTCAATGGGCTCTTTAAACCCCCCCTCTTTTTTTTTTTCCTCGCAATTATCACCCCAACACTCCCTGAGCGAAGCAGATTTAATATGTAAGAAGGAAATAAAACGTCTGCTTTCACTTGATTGAAGTTTTCTTATGAGGTTTTTGTTACAGGGAAGATGGAGGAGCCGTTGCCCTTGTTTAACCTCACTATCAGCCAGCGCCAGAAGTCACTGACTGGATAACCTAAAACATGAATAAATATGAATAAGTTATGGATGGCCTTATTGGTACGAGAGTTCATGTCCTCATGGTCGTCACTGGCTTTTACCTCAGTGACCTCCTGGTTCTGGACCAGGAGGGGAGGAATCCTGCTTTACTTTACTCACTTGGAGGATCAACTTTTTAAAAAGTTTGTATTAAACACACTATAAAAAAATAAATTAATACATTTAATATATATAAATTCTAGTATTCATAATGCTAATAATAATAATAATAATAATAATAATAATAATAATAATAATCAGACTTCTATGGAAAATATCAATAGATATTTTAAGAAATGTTCTATTGTTTTAAAATTGTAATAAAAAAGTAAAATTACAAACACAATCTGTAAATTCACAGCTCAACTGTTTTTTTGTTTGTTTTTTAAGTATTATGCTAATATTATGCCAAATAATGTTTATTTTCTTTTTTCTTTCTTACTTTTTTTTTTTTACAGAAAATCTATCATATTATTTGTATTATTTAGCCAGTGTTTGTTTTTTTGTTTGTTGTTGTTGTTGTTGTTTTTGTTTTTTCTTTCTTCAATTACATTGAAATCTAAATAAGTAAATTGTTGCTTTGCTATTGAAAATTTTCCTGAATTAAATTGAACAAAAGTGTTTTGAAATCTTTTTCATTGATGTTGGTTTTGTTAATTATTTATCTTCCAAAATGAGATCTGTAAAATGAATGTTTTATTGCACAAATTCTGCAGTTTATTAAAGGTGTTTGATCGCAATAATTGGCAAATAAAAATAACAGAATCATTACAGAAGTTTACAGTTTTCCAGCTTGTTGAATGTGTTGCAGCGTAATAATAATTCATGATAATTTACTAAAAATCTACTTCTTTGTTGCTAAATGTGCAATGTAAGTGTTTGTAAATTAGTTGTTTAATTTGAATTAAGATACCTTGCTTTAGTTTTCCACATTTTTGCTTTTCTTTTTTTTCTTTTTTACAGTGTACGTACAGATAGGAAGAGCTGGTGTAAACATGCATACATCATAACATATGCTGTAAAACTTAAAGTTAAAATAACCGCTAGGATAAAGTGAGCGTCAAAAATGACTGTAGACAGTCGCTGACTTGTTTTTAATGTGTTGCATGACTCCCTTGTGGAATCCTGCGTCCATATATGTTCCGCTAATGGACATCAATTTCACCAACTTCAGTGTTTGCTCAGGCTTCTTCTCCCTCCCCAGGCTTTGTATTCCTCTCGGTCTCCCCACGTCTTTCTGGACAGCTTGTGCAGAAAGCTGCTTGATCGGCCGCCGGCTGGCAGCGATACAGCTGTGATGAGAGTCTGATGGCTGATTGACTGTGGCACTTTATTACCTAAAGGGGCGTGTTGGGCTCATCTCAGCACGCTCAATCAATGTAAATCTGTCCGGCCAGGGAATTTATGTCCCATATGATGAAGTGCCCTGCTTTACTGTGCTGCATTAATTTGACGGGGCTGCGATGTAATCAACGACACCATTCTCGCCCATCACCAAGAATAATAGGTGAGACGTAAGTCATTGGAAATGTTAGGATGTATCCAGTCTTCTTTCTTTTTAATTTTACTGTATTTTTCTTCTCTTTTTTTTTTCACGTGTTGAATTGAACTCTGTCGTCATGTCAGTTCATCAGACCCACCACAGTGCTGTGCCAGTGTTCTCTGCTCCAGGAAAAGCTGGATGACCAAATGCTGAGAACCAGTTGCTAGGAGACAGCTCCTCCCTGGCCAGTGGCTGTCTGGGTTACCCATTGTAAAAGTGTGTGTGTGGTTGTGTGTGGTTGTGTGTGTAACAATAAAATGAATTGGTTTATTTACAGGTGCTATATATGGTGCAGCACTTATTGTGTAAATATCCCGCATCTTATGGCCAGATTGTGTGTGTGTGTTTTTTTTTAAACTAATAAAACCTCAGGTGACATATCATCCCTGTCTCACACCTGCTATGCTAAACCCCTGAAACATTTAGGTTCAAACACAAACCTCTTTTTCATCTGTGTTGTAAAAAATTCACACGCAGGCAAGACAATAGGTAGCCACGGAAACGGACCACGAGATACAACAGTCAATTATAGCAGGAACACATTAAAATACATTGGAGAACAGATACATTGTTTTAAATGGAGGAGAAGATGTGTCCTTATGTTCTCTGATATATCTTCATATTAGCAGCTGCACTGGTGGTGAAGACAGAAAGAATCCTTAATCCATGAAAAGAAAACTCAAAACCTCACAGTGTATACACAATCAGATCAT